CGTGGTTTTTGTATTAGACCCGTCGTCCATTTATTTGTAAGTCAATGTATTAGATTCATATTTGGATTACGCATATCAGAATTTCGCTAACTAAGCTTAAGTGGTTCCCAATTCGCCTTCGCCTTCGCCGGAATGCTCATATTCTTTCTATACTTTACCACGTCCTATTTAACCTCACTTCTCCCGCTTATCTCAGAGAGCGTTTTAATCTCCTTCATGATAGTCACTCGCATGTCTTGCGTTCATCGGAGAACCTGAGCCTGAAAATACCTATGCATTCATCTAGAGCTCAGGATAAATCGTTTTCGGTTCAGGCAACTCGTTTATGGAACAACCTGCTGGAAGCGATAAGACGTGCCCGATCGCTTGACAAATTTAAGAAATTGGTAAATAAACATTACTTATCACTTAGTAATTTCAATTTAGTAGAGTAAGTCAAGTATTCGCCATCCAAATTAAAACAATGTCTATATATATAATATGTATCACAAGAATATTCTATATGTTGTATGTGTATATAGTTATATATTTGGTATGTAGCAATGTGTATGTATGTTAAAATATATACATAGTACGTTTTTGTGAAGTTTGTTTAAGAAAGTATTCGGTTCAATTTGTACATCGTTTAGCTGCTTTGTGCACCATTAACTGCCCTTCACCTAAAACTCCGTAATAATTTGTAAGGTTGCCTGGAAGAGATAGCTGTCTTTTTTGTATTGTCACTGTTTATTATTTTGTGTGCAATAAAGCTTATTCTATTCTTTTCAATTTCTGGTTATATACTCTATGTGCGGAACCGAATGCTAGGTGTGTATAAGGATTGTAATGTAAATGAAACACTTGTCTCAGCGCTTACTGATGGAGCCCTGTTTACGGGGCAATGTATACGCTTCTATAATAAGATTCTCGTTGATATTCATAATTCACTAATATAACAAAAATCAATGGTGGTGATTAGATCTTTCAGGTTATTTCTATTTAGTGAGTGTTGGAGATTAATAAAAAATATTTACAAAGAACAACCCTTATCATTTCTTACTCATTCTTCTCAAGGCATTCTGAATTTTACATATGAAATGAAATGAAAATTTATTTGCTTACAATGTGGTGACCAAGAGATGGAACACAGTAGAGAGATAGAGCTCATATTTTACCACATCTGGCATGCAAAATTATACCTATAGTGATTGAATTAACTGATTAGATTACAAATAATGTAAGTAGACATGCACAAAACATCCTTGTTCTAATTTTGTTTCAACACAAAGACAATTAAATTAATAACAAAAATTATGAAAGTCAAACAATTACATAATATTATTATAAGTCAATGTTTATTCCAGAAATCGGTCACTGTGTAATAATTTTTGTCTTTAACCCATGCATACAAACTATTTGGTAACATTTTAATGTCGTTTGGTAGAGCATTATATATTTGAACACACATACCATTACATCGATTTTTATAGTAGGACAGTTTAAGTACATTATTATAAACCTGTCTACTTGGATCCCTTATATGTCAACTACATTTCTTGCTTTTTTAAAGATATCTAGCATTTGTTCAACAAACCAGGCGATTTCAAAAACATATATACACGGCAAGGGTAATATTCCCAAGTCTTTAAACAAGGGTGCACACGATTGACCTGGTGAAATACCACTCATTGCTCGGACACATTGTTTTTGAGTATAAGTACTTAGTAGATTCTAAATGTGATAATTTCAAGTGTAATTTTCTTACCAAATGAAGATAAATTTTAATTTAAGACTCGTTATTTACCTTGAAAGCACTTGACGAGGAACATACAAAGACTCCCTCCACCTAACCCCAGCACAGCGATCCTCCTCCCACCTCCTCCTTGGCGGAGCGCGAGCTGTGCGCCCACGCACATGAACGTGTGGTACTGCGAGATGTGCCCGAAGTCTACCACTAGTTTTGTTTTGTTCTTGCGCTTAACTGAAACGTTAAGTAAATACACACATCAAAAAAAGTTTGCGATCACTTCGAAAAACTGAAATCTTTTTTGTTACTGTAGATTATATTATGATTTTTTCTTCTTTTTAGGTTCTTTATTTAAAAATAAATTAGAACATAAAACAATGACCCCGTTCAATTGTTTTTTCATATAAAAAGGCTTTCAGTCCTAGCTTACGCTCATTCAGAAATCTGATTTAGTCAATTATAAGCGATTCAAGATATTTTTCGCGGAAAGTTGTGATTGAAAAAATGCCAAGAGGATTATCAGAGATTTTACGAGCTAGAATAGTAACTTTGAGGGAAGAAGGATACACCACGAGAGTAATAGCACGCAGACTTGCTATATCCCAATCCTGTGTCGTGGCTACGTTGCAGAGGTATCACGGAATGGGGAATTTAGCTGACCGACCCCGCAGCGGTCGCCCAACTGTTTTGACAGCTGCCCAAAAGCGCTATATTAGATTGCTGGCAGCCCGTGATCCAACAATCAACGCCACTAAAATAAAAGCAGAAGTCGGGGCCGCCTCTGGGCTTGAAGTTAGCACGCAGACCGTTCGCAATTGCTTGCACCAGGCTGGATTACGAGCACGGAGGTCTTGGCGAGCTCCGCTCAATTCCCGGCAACGTCAACAACGAAGATTGCAGTGGGCTAGACTTCGGCAAAATGAAGAAGGTGAGGACGAAAACATTTGGCAAAACTGTCTCTTCGTTGACGAATCTCGAATCAGCACTCATCCAGATAACCGACGTGTCCGTGTCTGGAGAAGACCAGGCGACCGTGAAAGACAAAGATCTGCCACTGGAACAGTTCAGCAAGGCGGAAAATCGGTGTCCTTTTCGGGTGGCATTATGATTGGAGCTAGAACGCCTTTGATCCCGTATCGGGGCTTCATGACAGCAGACATGTACAAAGCAGTTGCTATTGATGATATCGTCAGACCATTCCGAGTAAACCATGGGCACCAATTTGTACTGGTCGATGATAATGCGCCCGCACATCGAGCTCAACGAGTCAATGCTGCTCTTCAAGAATACGATATCACACGATTAGACTGGCCTGCCGGCTCGCCCGACTTAAACCCAATAGAGCATGCGTGGGATGCTCTTAAACGAGCAGTATGGAACGGTGAGCCACGTCCCCAGACAGTTCCAGAGCTCAGGGAAGCCGCTATTGAAGAATGGGATAGGTTACCCCAGGAAATGCTGGATAACTTGATCCTCAGCATGCCCAGGAGGATCTTCGCATGTATTCGAGCCAGGGGAGGAGTTATTTTATATTGAATTCACACCTTTTAATAATAAATTGTTGTTTAAGTTTAATTAAACAGTCTTTTTCTTTCTATGAAATTTCTATCACTATTACATTATGATTAATGGCTCAATTTTTTTAAATAAATAATAAAAAATAGTTTTATATTTTAATTTCAAACAGGGTATTCCTCTTTAAAGAAAGCATACAACATAGATTTTTTCTTGATAAAGTTAAATTTAAAGAATTATAGGAGTTTATGCTATTGATCGCAAACTTTTTTTGATGTGTGTACAATTTATTGTTACTGTTCTAAGGGGCATAATATGTATATTCAATGACATATTTGGAGGATCGCTAAAAAAGGTTAAATTATGATAACAATAATTATTGTATTGAATTCTTTGTTGCACAAATAAATGACATTGACAATTACAAGTTACAAGTGAGCTTATCTCTAGAAGAGGTCTCTTCCAGTCAACCCTAGCTGTGGTGAATAGATAGATAAATACTTTATTCACTGATATAACACAAATACAGATTAAGAACAAAACATGATGCTATGACATAGCAGTGAAACGGCGCTGCCTCAGCATATGCCAAAGTGTCCTAAGGCGCTGGTTTTCAGTCAGGACCAACGAGAGGGATTGAATTATTGGAAAGCAAAAATATAACGACTATGAGTAAAGTTATACATTGACAATAATATATACATAGTAAAGTGTAAATAGTGCATCTAAAATAACCTGTTTGACATGTAAGTGCATGAGCGAATGTGAGTATAACTACAGCTGTAGGAGTAAGTTGTGACTGTAAAGAGGTTTTAATGTTGTGTAATGTATTTAGTATTATAATATAATCATACACATAATTAATGTGAATTTCAATTCATTTGTGGTGCGAGTACCAACTCAACACCTGTCGACCTTCATGAGAGAAGACTTTTGGTCGAAAGGTGTCATGTACCGGCGTTTCCGAGGACGGCTACCGGACACCCACGTTGCGTCACACGTCGAAGTACATACGTGTAAATAAATAGTGTTATATGTATATTATCATGTTATATTGTATTTATGATTAGTCCGTAAGGTATTTATTTAATATTTCTGTTATTGTTTTATTATATTATTGTTATATTATATGTATGTTAGTCTGCAAGGTATGTATCTATGGGTCCTAGTTGCCTGAAATAAATAAATAAATAAAAAATAAAATAAATAATAAGAATAGATCAAAGCAACAACAAAATTAGATTCTAGACAGACTGCTTTAAAGAATAAAAACACACAACACAAATTTTTGAAGTGAGAGTAGGTGTTGCCGGTACAGTGCTTTGAATTTGGGTTTGGATGTCTCCTTGCGTATAGGTGGTGGAATATTATTCCAGCACTTTGAGGCCGAGTATTTGAAACTACCTCGAAAAGCTGCAGTTCTATATTGTGGTACCATAAGACCACATGATCGGACAGATCGCTCTTTGTAGCGTACATTAACACAAGATGACCACATTAGTTTTTCATAAAGATATTCAGTCCTGCATACAAGAGATTTTCACGAGCCCCGATATTTAGTAGATTTGCAGCGTTGAGATAAGGAGTGCCGTGAGTACGAGGGGGTATAAAAAAACAAAATCTGGCACATGCATATTGGACACGCTGCAGAAGTTTGTGTGTTTTAGACAAAAGGCATGGACCATATGACGTGATACAATAGTTGATCTTAGATAATATCAATGCTTCACATAGAGAAATACGCAAATCAACACTGAGAAACGGCCGAATACTGTAGATCACTTTTAACCTATAGAAGCAACTGCGAACAAGTTCGGCCACACGAGTGTCAAATTTAAGATGGCCGTCCATAATTATACCCAAATTTCGGGCCTCCGCTACCTGAGTAACCTTCTCACCATTAATTGAAAGAACTGGCGCATGTGACTGGATGTTTCTCACTTGTTTACAAGATCCTAGAATCAAAAGTTGAGATTTGATTGGATTCTAGACCAAAGTATTGTTCCTGGACCAAATAGCTAAGCGGTATAGATCCTCATTAATGAGGCTTGTACTTTCGGCGGTTCTATCTGGATCGAAAGACAGATGTAACTGAACATCATCCGCATAGAGGTGATATTTGCAGTTTTTAATGCTGCCCGTGATATCTGAAGTGTAAAGTACAAATAGCAACGGCCCCAATATAGAGCCTTGCGGCACGCCCCTGTCAACAGCACTCGGATTTGACACCAGGCAAGCACCATTGGATTTCGACAATTTTACTTGTTGCGTGCGGTTAGTAAGGTAACTTCTACTACTTCACTCAGCGAGACACCTTTACAGCTACCAACCGCTGACTAGAGATGTTACTTTAATAATTGTAATTAAGTTTTATTCAATTATTTTTTTGTGAAATTACTCCACTAGCTCGTTATAAATATTAAACAAAGATCGACATTTAGAAAAAATTAATTTCGATCTAGCTGGATTCGAACCAACGTCTCCTAGCAAACCGTGTCAGACGCTATGCCAAGAAACGATGTCGCTTTTTGATCAAAAGTATTATTGAGATTGTTTTTGTGTAATATCTCCACTAGTTTTTATTAATAAAAACACATCGGAGAATTGAAAAAAAAATAATTGAAATCTCGCTTTGCATTCTACTGCATAAATTGCATATGCAAATGAATTCATAACACAAATGTAACATGGACAATTGACGTAGAACGCCAACACCGAGCAAGAGGTATTTGTTGAAAAATACTACCACTTATCCAATAGCCAAGATCTATATTGGATTGTTTTTCCAAAATCGTATATAATTCTTAAATCTCTCACTAGACGTCATTTGCGGCTCAGAATGCCGAAAAATCCAGTACAAAGATCTTTATTTCGACAACTCGATAACTTAACCCGTAGCTCAGTTGGTAAGAGCAATGCTACGGTGCAGTATGGTCGTGGGTTCGAGTCCCATCGAGTCGAAAAAGATTTTCTATGTATTCGATCTTTGTTATCATAAAGTACCTTCTTTCAACTTAGCCTCGGACTGCACCAAGAACTGGTTATCGAGGAAGACGAGCCGCCTGTAAGTGGTTCCCTCCACGTCCACATCCTCAACGACGAAGTCGCCCGACAACTTGGACGAGCCCTCGTGCACTTTCACGCGTCGGCCGACGTCACTGCCCAAAGACAGGAACGGGATCTGCAAATTCACCATTGTCTATTTATAGTATAAAATTCTTGTGTTTCCTTATATAAAGACGCTTTATAAATCATCATCAACATCCTTCCGGACCTTCTAGTCGACCGAAGGAGGAACCGTGAGGGTGGAACTAAATTGAAAAGTTCACCGAAATGTATCCGATGGAAAACTGGGTTTCAAAAATCTCCCACTATATGTCGATCGAAAGATCTATAACAAAAAAACACATAAAAGAATTTCGACAACTCTGTAACTTGACCTATGGCTCAGTTGGTATGAGCAATGCTGAAAAGAGAAATGCAGCAGGATCGTGCGTTCAAGTCCCACCGGATCGAAGAAATTTTTCTGTGTTCTATATTTGTATTAATAATCATATACAGGGTAACAACCACGCAGAAAAAAACAACCTCACAGGACTATATTATATATCTTATTACTTTATTTTAATTGAAAAAAGATGAAAAAATACTGAAATTTTGTAATATTACTCTTACTACTTGAGTAAGAGTGTTACGTCTTTTTCACTTTATAAGCCCTACGCAATCAAAATCTTTAAGTTATGGTAGCAGATAATAGACAGTAAAGTTTGAATTGCGCACAAGCTAAAAAGTGGCGACATCGGTACCCGAACTTACATAGGTAGCATCACTACATATCTCCCCTTTTTTCCTATGTATATCTATGGTTGTCACTAATAATAGTCCTGGGAGGTTGTTAGTATTTTACAAGTAAACCAGTACAATGAAGCCAAATTAATAACGACTTTAGAATTTAAATAATTTATCGAATAAATAAAAAGTACAAGAGTAGTTTCATAAATGGCCAGGGCCCAATTAAGATTTGAGTCGTCCCAAAGGTAATAAATTTACCGCCCTCATTCCTCTTCTTTTTGTTAAAAATCTAAAATAATAAAATATAGCAACAGAAATAAACTTAAGTTATTACAACTACAGACTTATAGTTACATTAATAATAACTTAAGTTAGACCAGCTACACACTGAGTGTAACCTATTTTTTCGGATCTAAAGCGCACATAGCTGACTTCCAAGTGAAAATGCGAAAAAAAGTTACAATCAGGTTTGTTCAATCCTCCTCAATCAATGTACTTGGTTTGGGGCTTTGGGTAAATCAAATCTGTACTTATATATTACATAAATCGTTTTTGTATTGTTATGTTGTGTGTAATATTAACCTTCTCTAAGTAAAATTATTAGTAACAATTTATGGTCTATGCCCAAAATAACGAAATTCTATTCTATTCTAAATGACGTATATTTGTTTTTTCTTTGATTTTAGATCCGAAAAAATAGTTTCATATCAATTATTAATGTTTTTTTAAAACAGCAAAACATATATATATATATATTAATTTGAAAATATCATTAGTTCTTTATTATGCAAGAAAAAATCCAGAGCCGCAGGAGATGTGGCCATAGAAAAAACCACTTGGCTCCAAAATTTTGCAGTGTTAGTACCATAGAACTATTCCCAGCCGCAACTCCATGAGCCTAAGTAGCTATCACAATAACAGTCTACCTCCGTTCTTTGCCTATTACCATTCAAATTCCTTAATTTATTTATCCCTCACCTGTCCAGTAAACCCATAAGGAATCAGCATCTTAGCAGAATGCGTGAGCTCTTCCTTGACTGCCTCCAAGCTCTCAAAACGGTGGCCTCGTCTTAACACTGCTACAACCAAGCGACCGAACTTGGCTGAGTCCTGGAGCTGCCGCCGCCCGACAGGCGTGCCAAACAGCCACTCCGATTCTCTGGAAGGAATTACATCGGGATCTTGACTGGAGAGGTATCTAATAAAGATAAATTTATTTCCTTATAATCTTAATACAAGTAAAACAAATGTAAAGGAAGCTATGTCTTAAACAGCAAATAAGTAACCTTAATTAATATTTATTTATTTATATAATTAGGAAGCTGGAACATTACGGTGTAAATGGCAAGGCGTCGAAACTTGTCTCGTCATATCTCAACGGTAGAATTCAGAAAGTAGACGTAAATGGAGTGACTTCTTTGGGTTCTCCGGTAAAAATGAGTGTTCCGCAGGGCTCAATACTTGGACCTTTCTTATTTCTGATTTATATTAATGAGCTGCCATTCTTTGTTAAGGACCATTGCGAAATAGTGTTGTTTGCTGATGACACATCCTTGATTTTTTTTTTAACAGACAGACATGACATTAACTATGACCATATTAATGATTCCCTCTCTAATATAGTTTATTGGTTTAATGCTAACAATTTATTGTTTAATGCCAAGACGACAAAATATGTTAAATTTGAATTACCTAACGTAAAATCGACTAGTCCAAGCATAGAAATAAACGGAGAAAGGTTAGACCTTGTTAATAAAGCAGTCTTCTTGGGAGTGACCTTAGATAGTAAACTTCAATGGTTTCCACATATATCTTCCCTGGCCTGCAGATTAGGCTCAGCTGGATACGCAGTCCGCAGAATACGTGAGCTTACCGATGTTAGTACTGCTAGACTAGTTTACTTTAGTTACTTCCATAGTATAATGTCCTACGGGATTCTCATGTGGGGTAAAGCGGCAGATATTCAAACCATATTTGTATTGCAAAAACGAGCGATTCGTTCTGTGTACTGTCCAGGCTCTCGGGTTTCTCTCAGAGAAAAGTTTAAGGAGACTGGTATCATGACTGTGGCATCACAGTACATTTACTCAAATATTTTATATGCCCGTAAAAATATACATCATTTCAATAAGAAAGAAGAAATCCATAATATTAATCTTAGAGCTAAGACAGAAGAAATCCATAATATTAATCTTAGAGCTAAGACCAAACTCATGGTACCACGATTTCGTTTAACCAAGGTAAACAACTCTTTTATGGGGAACTGTATACGTTTCTACAATAAGATTCCGGAGCATATATATACTAAGTTTATCATTTCCTAAGTTTAAAAACTACATTAAAATTATTTTGATCGAAAAATCATATTACAAAATTGAAGACTACGTATTAGATAAAGATGTATGGAAAGCCGACACGGCTCCAGAATCCACACAAATTTGATTCAAAGTGTATTCCATAGCATTTAAGTTTATTTGAAAAGAGCAATCCCTAAAGTTTCTTGCTCGTTCTTCTCAGGGAGGTCAGCGTAGTGAACGAGCAGTAGCTTAAATGTGACGTTTTCAAGTGTAAATTTATTTTACCTATGGAATAAATAATCTTTGACTTTGACTTTGAATATACAATCTTCATAACAATGAAATCATAAAACCTAACAAATTAGTTGTGACGCCTAAACTTAGTAAATGAATACCTGTATTTTAAACATCTTGTATGTGGATACTTTTTTCCATTAAACTCATTGACTTACAAATAAATGGTCGACGGGTCTAATACACAAACCATGAAAAAAATGTCCCAAGTCAACCTATTTAAACGTAGTGACATGTAAAGGAATATGAAAAAGCTAAAACGTTGAATTTAAATTGTAACGTCATCGCAGTACTGTCTAATTTTGCTTGCTTCGCTGTCAGTCGAACAAACGAAGACTAAAGCGTGAATGACGCTCTGTATAGGTACGATTTTAACGCCCTATAAGTTCGGACACTTTTTAGCGCGGACCCGACGTCCATATAATTGTAAGTCAATGATTAAACTTGAAAAATGTACCTACTATATTTATTCAACAATAAAACAATTAGTTATATAAATATAATTATAAAAATAAAAAATAAATAAATAAAGCTTTTTGTATCATCATAAGTCTTATTCTTAAATCAAGAATGGAAATCTATCGATCGTAACAAGTAAACAAATAGCCTAATGCGCAATTAAAAATTATCACGCAATTAAAAGTGCGCATAAAGTTCTTTGTCAAGTAGACTTATTAAAATTTACAATGTTTTTTTTTGTGCGTCATATAAAGAATGAGGCTCAATTCCAAATTCTAAAGTGAATTTTTGTAACATAGAAACTAGATAAGAGCCAAAAAACAGTCACTCATCATACGGAGAACTCTCGGCCAGACTCGACAATGCAGCTAACGTATCATATCTAGTTTCTACGTTACTCAATTGGCAACAAGTTAGTGCTACGTACAATTTTTTTAAATTGATTCAATATTTTGTTGCAAAAAAATTAATTACCCTACTCAAAGATCGTGCAGACGGCATATCAAGCTGCACATTGGCAGATCTTGTTCTGTTGCACTAAAGGTGATATTCGAACAAAAGTCACATTCCAGGCCACATGAGATTTGCCAACTTATGTCCCAGGCTTACAGGCGCAGTGGCAGTATCCGTCAGATCTTTGCGATTGAGCTTCACTGCATATGTTATGTACAGGCGTGTCACTTAACACCAGGCCCACTGCTTGTTAATCGGTACAAGTTTATTTCTAAATATTTGTGCCTACGTATTTTAGAATTTCTACTCGACGTGACCACTGCTGAGGATTAATAAAATAAATGAGGTAGTTAGGTCCTTTTATTACATTAATTACAATTATAACACTGAATAACTACTCTCTGACTCTTTGGATTATATTAGAGATAGAGTGATGAGTTCACTAACTATAAATATAATTTAAGCCTCTGCAATAAAATTTTAATTGCTGTTACGAGGACGAATTTAACTTAACTGTTGATATTTTATTTCACACCATCACTTAAAACTGCAAAGGTTATATGACTGTTGGATAATTATTATTATTTATTTATTTAATATACATATATAAAAACATTACACTGACTGTGGGATCTAATGAATCTCGCCTTTATATACATAATCTTAAAACTACTAATACATATATTGTTCCTAACACGTATTTTAACAATACTCGACTCTAAGTTTGACAACAAATGCTGTAACAAAAGATGTTTAAATTTACTTTTCTTAGGTTCAAATCTAATAACCTCAGGCAAACTGTTTAGTAAGTATGGAATACGTTTCTTTAGAGTTCTATCTCCATAGCAATTATTGACTTTTGGTACTACAAATTTAGCTACGCACCTGTGCTCCGAAGTTGCAGCTACCAGATATTTGAGTTTTAAGCTAACAGGTAGGAGGTTTACAAATTTCAAATAAATTGCAGTCTCCATTACATTTTTCATTAGTTTTATTATTTACAAGAAGTTTCACAAATCTAACTTGCATAGTTTCAAGTCTGTTTGTGTATGAATTAAATGTAAGTCCATAACAATCTAGAGCATAACTTAGTGTGGAGTCAACCAATGCCGGATATATTTGCCCTTCAGAACCGGAACCCAGTAATGCTTACATTGCCTTTCGGCAGTGATGGGGCAATGCTGCCTTGGACGAACTCTTTCACAAGGAGCTCTACTGCTACTGGATAATGATGGAGCACTGCGCATTTATTTATTTATTGTACAGGAAAGCACAAATCATATTTAGTAAAACGGAAAACACAAAGAAAAGGTTCTGTTTATTTCTAAACGAAATTTCTTCCTGCCGACCAAAATACAGTACACAATAATTAAGATAACGGGTTTACGTGGATAACAAAACAAAATTAAATTATGTAATAACATCGACTCATCAGAAAAACAGAGTCGGATGTGATTATACAACAAAAAGAGGAAAAATACATAATCTCGTTATCTTCTGAATTTTATGTATTATTTCGTTTGGGAAATATAAAATCGATCAACAGTCGACCTAATATCCACAGCTAAGAACAACGAACGAAATGTTCCTGAGAATAAGCAGTCTGGAACATAGATCTTTATTGTACGGATGAATCGAAATAACAATAAAAAAAACAGCAAAAATATTAAATTACTACAGACTATAAAAATACTTAGACAAATACATATTTCATATTATAATATCTATAAAATGGATGGAACAGAGGACAAATAGTGCTCCTTGGCTCTCATTTTTAAGATAGGTAAGCATTTACTGTCATGTACAAAGCACGTCAAGCTTGACACTTTGTACTTTGGACCGTTCTTATCGTAAGCGGCATAGAATTGGATTTAAGTCTTAAGTGTTAAGCTTGACGTGCTCTTGACCCTGTACAGTAGTGGGAAGTGCGTTCCAAAGTCTGACCGCATGAACAGTAAAAGATTTATATTCTTATACCTTTTATTTTAAAAATGCTTTTTGCGCTTATCACGCACATGTGGTCTCTAGTTTGCGATTTAGTTAAAAACGCTACTGGAACACATATTTGCCACCATTCGTAAAAAACCAAAAGAAATGTGTCAGAGCCGTATCTGGAGTGGGTCAGGGAGAGAATTGCGTAGGGAATTGAAGATAACACCACAGTCAAATAAAAAAACACCGATTGTTTACTTATAAAGAACAATTCCTAGAGGTTCTTACTCATTCTTCGAATCTGCCTTATAAATGAGTAGTAGAGTATAATGAATATAACGATTTCAAGTGTAATTAAATAAAGATATATTTAAGTTTGATTACCTAGAGTTGCAATATAATAACATGGGTAGACTGCCGCCTTTATACTAAAGTCGCTTTTGCGACATACCTACAGAAGACACGTTTACATCGCAAATGCTTTGCCGGTACTGGATGTGCCACCCTGTACATCGAGACAGGTTGTACACGTAAAACCCTGTCATTAGTAGCAAGGTTTATTTTATAACAGTAGAGCTCCTTGTGAAAGAGTTCGTCCAGGGAAATGCTGCTACCTTACCTGTTTCTGCCGCCAAGCAGTAGTGTGAGCATTACTGCGTTGTCAAGTTATGTCTCAGGGTAACGGGCGCAATGGCAGTGCCTCTCAGACCTATGTATTTTAAAG